AGAATTCGCTCATCAGCCATCATTATTCGGAAAGTAGCGTTGGCTTTGGAGTTAACCTTTTGTCTTACTCAAAGGCATTGTTTAGATTATTAGTGCGGAGTCTATAAAAAATACTGTCCCTAGAAAGTTCCTGGGGTTAAGTACTTATAATCACTAATGCTATCAGTGGTCATTCAGACTGAATCAAAATAACAAAAACCTAGCTGGAAATATTTTGGAAAACAAGAGTTAGATTTTGAGCTAAACTAGTCAAAAATTCAAATTCAGTAAAATGTATATTGGATGTGAAAATAAGAATTGAACTTTAATAACAGCATTGAGTCCTATGAAGGAATAAACCTTGAAATCTCCGTTTCCCAATTCGATCCTGATGCGACTTGTTCCTTTCTGCAAGCTGATTATTGATATTCATAGACAAGATAGAGGAAAAATAGAGCAATCCGGTTGGTGGAAGTGGGCGCTTGCAATGGACGAAGAAAGTCAGTAATAGACTGACTAACGGCAACCCACGAGAGATCTCATAGTTAGTCAATGGTTCTCCTCTTTAGTCTAGTAACGAACTACCGTTTTAATCGCTCCGTTTTCCCTTCATCTTCCTGTAAATCGCTATGTCTATCAATTTTAGTTATCAGCTCGCTGATAAGTTTGGTCCATTTACAATGAAGCACACAGGCAGATGCTGTGCATGCAACACGCGATACACCACTGATTTACTACAACATTGCATACGTTGAAATAAAACACTGCATGGTCGCACCCGTACCCTATCGCGAGAACCGTGTGTATGTCGCGAGGGCGCGTGCCGTGAGCAGATCTCAGATATAGCCCTCAAAATCTAGCATTTGCAACCCGACCCACCGCGGACTTAAAATAGTCGCATGACCCAACTTAGTGCATTCTTCCGTTGTTCTTCGCATTGTTTTGAGCTTCAAGAGCGCTCTGTTATCTGTGTTAATTGATAAAAAGGCTCAGCTTTCATCGAAATAATAATCAAAAACATTCCTCGTTCATTCACCTTAACTGCAAACTAATAAAGAAGCACACGACATAAAGCAAATGCAAACTTGCAATGCGAATGTAGAATTTGAATTAAAGGAATATACTGGGTGCTCCAGAGCACCCGTCCAAACGGCTGAAAATTGGGCTTTGGGACGAAAACTCACTGGGGTAAAGCAACCCCCCAAAATTCAATGAAAATATTTTCAGCCCCCAAAACCCCATTTCGGCGGGGGGTTTACGCGGAGGTGTCCCCCGTTTCTCGCATTTGTCAAACATGACGGGTATGCTTTGACTTAGGATTTAAATTATATGGCCGAAAATAAGAACTTTTTGTCCTATGACCTTTTCCCCTAAGTCCCCATTTATTGGAGTTACGGGGCATTTTGGGGAATTTTTTGGGGAGATTTCAATTGAATTGCCCGATTTTCAAAATCTGAAAGTCTCCTGAGAGAAGAGGTAAATGCCTTTTTATTCATGTGCCACATGGCCCCTGTTGATCCAAAATTATGTGGTCCACGACCCCCCAAAAATGTTGGGGCTTTGGAGGGCCTTAAGTCAAAAATTTCAAAAAGCAAGGGTATATTTTGATTGACACTTACTTTCTTTTTCGCCCGATGAATTTTTTTTCCCGGTTGTCACTCTTACACGATGGCCATTTCGACTTCTGTAGAAGTCATCATCAGGTACTTAAAACTAAGAACGAAAATAAAAATAAAAACCGAAGCTAAAAAACTGACGTTAAATTCACGTATTATTGCCGGCGACGCGTCGCGCACTGACTATGGTATGGTATGGTATGGTATGGTATGGTATGGTGACTGGTATATTTTGACTTCAGATTTGGATTTGATGCGGAATTAGTGTGTAGGATTTCTATGGCGGGTGGCCTATTTGCTCCAAATTACTTTAAAACCCCCCATTTCCCCACAAGAAGCCGTGTATTTTTTGAGGAAAAAAGGGTGCGGGGAAAGCAATCTTGCGTAACTTTTCGTGTTAAATTCGTGTCAAAACATACCCTTAATATTTGAAATTTTCGATTTACGGCCCTTAAAAGTCCCAAAATTTTTGGAGAGTCGTAGACCCCATAATTTTGGATCAACAGGGACCACGTGTCACATGAATAAAAAGGTATTAACCTCTTCTCTTAGGAGACTCTTAGATTTTGAAAATCGGACAATTCTATCGCTTATAGTGACTTATTGAAATTTCTTCAAAAAATTCCCCAAAATGCCCCGTAACTCCAAAAAATGGGGGTTAGGAAAAAGGGCATAGGACAAAAACTTCTTATTTTTGGCCACATAACTGAAATCCCCTAATAAAGGGGTCTATAAAGGGGGCACCTCCCCTTGAACCCCCCGCAGAAATGCGGTTTTGGGGGCTGAAAATATTTTCATTGAATTTTTGGGGGTTGCTTTATCTCTGTGAGTTTTCGTCTCAAAGCTCAATTTTCGGCCCGTTTCCGAGAAAAAAAAATAGTACACAGGTGCTCTGGAACATCCGGTACATCTGCATGAATCAGATGGTGGATTAAGTTCACTACCGAAATATACTCTCACCTAATTTAAATAAATCCTATTCTATGTGAAGAAAGTGAAGGTCTTTACAGAGGAAGAAAAAGGAAAACATACTTGAGTAAAATTGTAACAATCTAATGATGACCATTGTAATTATATTTATATTTCATATTTATAGAGAGTGAAGTGTCGTGAACATTCCTTTGGGAAATTTTGTTTGTGGTGAATCTTCTTGAATTCGATTTTCCTTCATTCGAGAGTGTAGGTAATATGCGCTTTAAAAGTTGGAATAGTCGGATATCAAAATCTCTTTTCTTGTTTAAAAGCGTCACCTGTGCTTTTACCCTTCTTACTGTGATAGGTAGTCAGAAGAGAATTCACTGGAGAAATTCTACATGTGACAGGGTGCCCAGCCAAACGGTGGGTAGAGAGCATCCGTTAAGAGATTGAGAGATGCCAGCTTCCGAAGGATCTTTACCATGACAGATTCCTGTGGCGGGTAGGCGTCGCAGAGCGCCCTAGCGCGCCGTACTAGTCACTTGTACACACATACAAATTCTACATGTATTCCGGACCCTCCCTCTTTCTCCTCTTCCTCTTTGTATTTAAATTATTTTTCTTTTTTTTACTCTCTTTATCCTCTCCTGCCTTCCACCTTTCTCTTCTTTCGCTCCTTTTCTTCTTTTCGGTCCTTTATCCATTCTTCTCTTTCTTTTTCTTTCTATTCCGTTCACCGTTCCCCTTCTTTTTTCTCTCTCGCTTCGTTTTCCTTATGCAGACAGATGCTTTTCTAAATAAGCCAGAAATAGTAGTTTTATATCGTAAAAAGTATAGTTTAATTAAAATGACCGATTAGTAATCACATGTTAATGTTAGTCTTTGCGCTTAGCTTAGAACTTCCTGGAGAACTTTGTTCCCGATTTGAATTGTTTCTTTCTTGCCTTTGGCTCCAACAATTTGAATATTGAGACCATCCATAGAGCGACATATCTTGACAATGCTGCGTACAGTAGTTGCCCATGACGATTTTTATCAAGAGTGACGCGTGAATGGAGAGAGGGGGACTGGAGTGTGATAAAAATCCCGCTCGACCCCGAATTATACGACTTAAGTATCGGCCTCTCAGTATTGCCGAATATGACAGAACTTGTCGGGTGCGTGCTTACCTATTTTTGCATTTACGTCATCAACTGGCAACACCTAATTGTATGCACATTTGCATTTGCCACCATGTTTTGGGCCGTAATTAAAAATTCATAAAAAGTGACTCGTAGTGCAAAAATTCATGCTGAAGGTCACTGGGATATAGCTCAAAAATACAGTATCGCTGGTGTAGTCAAAACAGCACTCTCAACCCTCCTAGCTTGAGGATTTTAATACATCGATGGATGCCGAAGTGCAAAACCACGTATCTCCGTTTGCGTTGTTGTCTTCTTCCTTCAAAGCACTTGTTTACGTACTTGGTAATACGTTGGTTACTTTTCCATTGGAAAACTAGCCAACGTAATTTATTGGCAACGTTTTTGATGTTTCTTTTAAGTTGGCAGAACATTTTGTAAAAATTTTAAGCTCTATAGTTGTCATGTTTCTCTTGGAAAAAATAAAACGATAGCGGAAATTTTGAATCACCGCAACGAAGGTACGTTGTCTCGCACTTCGGTCATCGATACATATCGAAAGAGGACGTTCACTTCTGCGATTTCCCCTGATGGTACGTTACCGAGTATAAGCGGTGCGTGGAAAGTAATTTGCCTCAAAATTACAGGCCAAACATCTAAGCAGCCTCCGATAAGATACTAGCGAGCACAATTTTCGTAGTACCGTCGTGCCAAGGAAAAACGCCGTATGAGCCACCAGACGTTGCCAAATTGCCGCTATGAAATACAAATTTTCACAGAAATTTACGAATATTTTCCTTCCAATTTTTCAGGGAATTGTATTCGCAATCAGATAATTGTTTGAAATTTCAAGAGAAATTCTTAAAAATTCTCATTATAGCTAAACATTTTATCGGAGGAAACTTGGCAACTGTCGAATATACATACGGCATTTGTTCTAGGCATGCCAGAATAAACCCTTGACTTTTAATGCAAGTTTTCTTTTCTTCTTAGTGGCAAGATTTTGAGCTCATAAATGAGTGCGGAGATAAACCGCCACCTCCAATATGAGATTGCCATGAAGCTCGAATAAAATTTCATTTCAGAGTGAGTCCGTATCCTTTAATAACGAAAAGCTAACCTCAAAATGTTTGCTTTATGACCTACGGTACTTGCGATAGAAAGCTTGGAGAAATTCACTGAAAGCTCCACTCAAAAGGTGGAGCAGAAGTTTCAACGGCATAAAATGAGCCTTAGAATGGTGTGATGGAAGGAGACCTAGCTCAATATGAAAGTCGTCTGACATTGTCCATGACTGAAGATTGAGTGAAGCGGCAACTGATAAGAGCCATGATAAGGGAGTCGGAGTGCGAATAGGGTTCATACTCACGGTATTTGTTCTTCTCGGCGTGTGACGGATGAAAAGCGAAGAGAATGAAGAAGAGGAGGAAGAACATAAGCACACGCGCTCGCCAGGGACCGGGACAGGGGCCTCGACCCCGAGACGTGGCCGCCATGGACGCACTAGAGTTTTCTCGGGATCATGGAGCCGCGGAGGCGTCGGCGTCGCCGGAAAGCAGGATCGAGAACACAACACACACTAAATCCAAAGCGGTGCCCGGGAACACAGCACAGACCCACGGTGGTCGCCTTGCGAATCACTCATCGCACTTTTGGCAAAGCACCGAACCGAATCGCGGAAAGCGAAATGCGGAAGGCCAGCGGAAAACGGGGAAACACGGCGAGGACAAGGTTCCCGGCTCGCGAGAGCGTTGACTCGGCGGCCACGAATCGATCAGGGTTGTCGAGTAAGTGCTGCGCCCTACACCCTACTACGCGCGCAGGCGCCCTCCCGTAATCACCCTCTTATTTTCAATGAGTCGCCAAGAGGGGTGAGGGGTGCGCAGCGCGCAGCGCGTCCTTCCCCATCCCTCGCCTCGGAGCCCCGGCCCGGCCCGGCCCGATGCTCACCTATCCCTTTTTTCATGGCCCGTACAAATTAGCGGCTCCGCGTCGACGATTCAATTTGCGCCGCACCCGTCCCATCCCTTCGTTCACATCTTCGTCCCCGGCTCTGTGCCCACCTGGCAATCTGACATCGCCGCCAAGGCATCATTTCCCGCTTCGCGCCCTTCCCTTCCTCAAGGCAGGTGCCGCCACGCACCTTTCTCAAATGGACGTATTTGTGCTAAAAGGAACTATGTGCAAGTGGAAAGATGGGGAGTGCTCGTGGTGAGCTGGATAGGAAACAATGTAAAAGTGGATAAAGCTCCTTTTGAGAAAATGGAAAAGCGGGATTTGACATTAAATCAAAAGGAACTGAGCGCCAAAATATGCTAACTTATGAGCCGTGGGCATGTGCAAAAAGCGTTGTGGACACGGCTCTTGAGTTAAAGCACACTAATCGGCAAGCTCTTCGTCGACGTCGAGCCCGATCGTCACCACTGACGTCACTGGCGCTTTAAAATTCCCATTCATTCTTATGGCTCTCAGCTAACGAGCACACCTCATCTTTTAATTTTCACATAGTTCCATTTAGCATGAATACGTCCAAATTTGCCTTAAGAGTCGTGTGCTCGACCAGTCTCCATGTCTATAGGTATATTTTTCACCCTGTCTCAAGCTATATCTATAGTTTTGTCTTAAGCAGAGGATACTACCGTGGTCATGTCCATTGGTAGGTTCGTACTTGAGGAGTCATAAGAGTAATACGTAGGCCACTTTTGTGGGAGGAGAATTCTGATTGTGAGCTTGGCTTAAGGGGTATCATATGGGAGGAGGTGAGGGCTGGAACAGTTTCAATTAAGCCTAAAAAACCGGAACCTCCTTAGATAGTAACTGCGTTCAGATCGACATTTTAATGATTTGAGTGGTAAAATATTGCCTTTAAATTCCGTATAAAACGACAAGAAAAACGCATAATACCACAAACGAGGTAATAATTAAGTGAGGCACAACAACAAGGACTGTATCTACCGATAGATTCGCGGCGTTGTTTGTCGGTACATTTAGATCTTATGGAGCTATATAATTGTGTGTCCTTCGAATAGGTAACTATTCGCGCTCCCAGGTATGTATATTGCCTATGCGGCAAAATTGAAGGCGAACAAGTGGATGATGTCGGTCAGTAAGTTTAAGCATGTTTTACTGGTTCAGCGAAGTTTATTTTCACTTACCGTCGTTTTTTTCTCTCTTCTAATTTTAGCGCCTGGTGCAGCGGCTTCTCAATGGAAGGTTATGCCATAAGTCAGTGGGATGATCATTGACATTAACACACAAAGGTTTAGACAAATATACGACAAACATTAAACAGAGCAATCCCATTGCTAGAGGCGAGCGTATATATTGGACAAAGGAGATAAATGGAGGGCTGATAACGGCAACCCACGAGAGACCTTACACTTGTAGTCAGTCCAATTAGTCCATCATTTCCCCCTTAGTCTGGCACAACCACACGTTTTAACTAATATAGGATTGCTCCAATCTCCCTCTGTCCGCCGTGCCTATCGCTTTGTCTTACAACTTCAATGATTAGCTCGCAGATGAGCTTCAATTTAGTTGACTCAGAATATTACCTTGATAATTTTGATGTCCAGCGAATCAGGTGGACCTTACAAACAAGCTTTTTATGAACGATGTATCGATAGTTGCTTGGGCACCACGGCCTTTTGAGGTTGATGCCTCGTCATTATAGGATACGAGGGTGCTTGGAAAATCCAAATGGAAGGCGAGTATATTTCAAGGGCGCAAACCTATTTTTGTAATGAATTAAATGAGCCTCGAATCAGATCATACAGACTAACTAGGTAATATTTCTGGCTCATCCATAAAAAGACCTACCTGTCACTAACGATAAAATGATGCAGTCACTAATATGAACCAGAGGTGGATGTAAGAACGAACTAAAGCATTCGGATGTATCTTTCCTTGTAAAAAAGTAGATTACGATTTCTACAAGGAACATTACTGAGTAACTCCGAGTCTAAATATTAATATTTTTCGGTTCATAAACTGTTTGAGTTTATGGAAGTTTCTTCCCACTCTTTGAAGAACCATTATCTACTTGAGTTGGGTTGCTCACTGAACGTTGTACATTGACAATATCAGGGCCGGATTTACCTACTTGCCGCCCATGGGCCGCCTGCATGAGGCCGCCCCTTCCTCATTCGTTTTGAGACATCAATAAAAACCATCAAGTGAACGTGACGGAGGGAAATGGGTGCATACGACGAGTTCACTCGTGTAGGACACATTTTTTGTGAAAGCTCTGTCAAAACTACTAGCAAAAGTTCCCAGAATGTTGCGCAAAAATTAAGTTCTGTAAACCTATCTCTGTGTGGACAATGCCAACCATTTATAAGAAATGAACGAAAAAATTGCGAAATAACAAACATAAATGTGGGTTAATAATTTTAACCTCTGTTGTCGCGCCGCGCTGACTGCATTGTGTTTGACGCAATGCGTGAAGTATTTCTCCAGTCTTGTCTAGGCGCTATAAGTTTTACGCCGACCGCTGTTTACCGCACTGTGTTTGACGCATTGCGTGAAGTATTCACGCAGTCTTGTAGGCGCTAATATGTGTTACATGCCGGCCGCGCCAAGGACATCTCTTTTTTATCTCAAGTCCTCGTCATCATTGCTCTCTGCGCCGCACAGTGCAGTGTCCTTATGGCGCGCAGGGACAAAAATCATAGCTCGCAGACAAAAGCACATAGAGATGTGAAATTTGGTATGAGAGGTCTTGAACATATAGACTATCGTTAGATGAGGTTAAATTTTGTTAATGACACTTAGGGGCGGGAGGAGGGGGCGGGAGTACTGATACTTGAAGGCGAGTGTTTGGGCGGTAGAGACCGAACTCATAGCTCAAAGACAGAAAGACATAGAAAAGTGAAATTTGATATGAGACCTCCTATACATATGTGCTATTGTCGGATGGGGTTAAAATTTCATAATGACACTTGTGGCGGGGTAAGGGGGGCGAAAGCAGTGATACTTGAAGACGTGCGTTTGGGCGGTACGGACAAACATTTTAGTCCGAAGTCGGTAGCACATACAGAAGTGAAATTTGGGTGCGACCTCTTCTACCGATAGGCCATCGTTAGATAAGGTCAAATTTTTTAAATGACACTTGTGGCGGGGAGGGGTCGAGCGGTCGCAAAGTTACTAAATAGTGAGCGTTCGGGCGGTAGGAACTGAACTCGTAG